CAGGGCTCGTAGTGACTGTGCAGTGGGCATGGGATCTCTGAAAGACAGATACACAGAATATTCCAGTTAATTGATGCGATGAGGGCCCCACCTGTGAGTTCACTTTCTGTGATTTGATGTGGGCACATAGTTTAACTGATTGGCGACCCACTAATGATCCCTGTCACTCGACTTTTAGAATAAAAAATCAACTCTCTTTGTTTGCAACAAGGCTTTTTGTTTGAATAATTGACCAACATGTGGTCCTACAAACAGCTTCCAGTTCAGGTATGAAGCATTGCGTTGGCACGGTGGCTCAGCAGTTAATACTGCTGTCTCACAGAGCCAGGGACCCAGGTCCAATTCCACCGAATCTCTGTGTGGAGTTTGCCCATTCTCCCCGTTTCTGCACGGGTTCATTCTGGAGTTCCAGTTTCTTCCCACAATCCTGGCCTGTGCGGGTTAGGGTGGGTTGGCCGTGCTAAATTGCCCCATAGTGCCCAGGGATGTGCAGGTTAGGGTGGATTGGCCATGGGAAATTGTCCCATAGTGCCCAGGATGTGCAGGTTAGGGTGGGTTGGCCGTGCTAAATTGTCCCATAGTGCCCAGGGATGAGCAGGTTAGAGTGGGTTGGCCGTGCTAAATTGTCCCATAGTGCCCAGGGAGGTGCAGGTTAGGGTGGGCCATTCATGGGACATGTAGGGTTATAGAAATAACAAGGTGTAGAACTGGATGAACACAGCAGGCCAAGCAGCATCAGAGGAGCAGGAAGGCTGACGTTTCGGGCCTGGACCCTTCTTCAGAAATGGGTTGTATGAACATTCAGAAATGGTTATAGGGATGGTGGATCTGGTCTGGATCCTGCTCTTCGGAGGGTCATTGTTGACTGGATGGGCTGAATGGCCTGCTCCCCCACTGCACGGATTCTGTGATTCTCTGAATATTTTGCCTTTAAACCTTGTGAAGATGGTTTGACATCCATTGGGTACTTACCACAGAATCCTGGCTCCCTCCATGCGAATGAGGGCAGTCCATGAAGCTGACACTTTGCTGAATAGGTGCTGATTGCCTGGCACAGCATCAACATTGAGCCTCCGGAAGCGCAGAGGTCCAGGACACAGCTCTGGATGAAATCCTGTGGGGGCAGTGTGGTGCGGCAGATATTGAAGGCACTGTCCTCCCTGTCCATGAAGCCACAATAATTCTGACCACTGTAGAGCACCGACTGCTCCTCTGTACAGAGCTCACACTGCCCACTGCAATGGTCCTGGCACATCTCATCACCATCATAAACCTTCCAGCCTCTCCCAAACTCCACCTCTGCGCTGACAACAGTCCCGTTGGGCAACTGGAACTCATCGGCCAGCTCACCATTCATATTCCCACAGAGCCCACAGGTCACATTGCGGAAACTGGCCGGGAGGGAGATGGTGGCGCGGTGCGAGCCATCGAATTGTACATTGAGACCAAACTGTGTACTGACCGTGACCGTGAATCCACTGGTGTAAACCCGGATCTGACCCCTTCCGACGTTGATCGGGAGCAAGGTTCGAGTCCCGTTCAACTGCAAATGGAAACAATCCAAGCATTATTCCCAAACTAATCCCAAAGCCCCGCTCTCTTTCCCCACAGCCCTGTATCGATCCCCAAACTAATCCCACTGCCTGCTGTCTCCCCATAACCCTGTATCGATCCCCAAACTAATCCCACTGCCCCACTCTCTCCCCATAGCTCTATATCAATCCCAAACTAATCCCACTGCCCCATGCTCTAACTATAGCCCTCTATTAATCCCAAACTAATCCCACTGCCCTGCTCTCTCCCCATCGCCCTGTATCAATCCCAAACTAATCCCATTGCCCTGCTCTCTCCCCATATCCCTGTATCAATCCCCAAACTAATCCCACTGCCCCGCGCTCTCCTCATAGCCCTGTATTGATCCCAAACTAATCCCACTGTCCCACTCTCACTATTGACTTTAGTCAATAGCCTTTAGTTCAAATTTCCATTCATGAATGAAATGCTGCTCAGAAATTTGACGTATATTTTTCGATCTGGATCTTTACATCAGAAATACAAAGTTGTACCATAGAATTGGGCAGAACGTGTCAGCCACTGAATGCAGCTGCCCCCTGGCCCCTGTATTTACCAGGATATGATCAATGGTTCCCTTGATCATGGTGATCTCAGTGTTGTAGACAAACAGACGAACTAGTTGGAGCCAGGATACCACTGTGTTGCCACGGTACTCGTTCTTTGCCTCCACTCTGAAAGGGGGTAAGGTCCCGTTCCTCTGGCACATCTCAGACAGCACGTAGGTGCAGGTACCTTGAAAGTGGAAGAGTCGCCCATCGAAGGTTTGGTAATGGGGGTCCCCGAAGATGGTGCAGGTCTGAACGGAGGCTGGCCTGCAGGTGTAAAAGGAAGATGACGAGAGACAGAACTCATAAGGAGCACATGGTTCATGCTCACAGACCAGAGAGCTGTTGCTGTTGCATTTGCATTTTGTTTCACAACTCGAGTTCGTCCAGAAGCTGTCGTCCTGACGGATAAATTTCCCTGGGAAAAGAATGTTTAATTGTCAGAGATAAGCAATCCATCACCTAACCCCCTCCCTGGCTGCCAGTTGGACAGACAGTTTTACCACTTCATAACAATGGGAAAATATCAAATAGGAAGAAAATGGAGAATTATATCAGAGAAGACTTTTAAAGGCAGTTTAAATAATTGTGCACAAAAATGTGGACGATGTAAGTGCACAATTTGAGTTAAATGGGTAAGATTTAATGGACATTACAGTGAGATGGCTGCAAGGTGATCAAGATTAGGAGTCGTTTATGGAATATTGCACGTTAGCGCTAATACAGTCATACAGCATGGAAACAGACCCTTTGGTCCATCCAGTTCATGCTGACCATAATCCCAAACTAAACTTATCCCACCTGCCTGCTCCTGGCCCATGTCCCTCCAAATCTTTCCCTTTCATGTACTTATCCAAATGTCTTTTAAACATTGTAACTGTACCCACATCCACCACTTCCTCAGGAAGTTCATTCCACACACGAACCACCCTCTGTGTAAAAAAAATTTCCCTCATGTCTTTTTTAAATCTTTCTCCTCTCACCTTAAAAATGTGCCTCATAGTCTTGAAATCCTCCACACTGGGAAAAAGACAACTACCATTAACCCTATCTATACCCCTCATTATTTTAAAAAACTTCTATCAGGTCGCCTCTCAACCTTCTATGCTCCAATGAAAAAAGTCCCAGCCTATTCAGCCTTTCTTTATAACTCAAACCTTCCATACCCAGCAACATCCTGGTAAATCTCTTCTGAACACTCTCCAGCTTGATAATATCCTTCCTATAACTGGGTGACCAGAACTGGACACAGTATTCCAGAAGAGGCCTCACCAATGTCCTGTACAACCTCAACATGATGTCCCCAATTCCTACTCAAAAGACCATAAGACCATAAGACATAGGAGCAGAAATTAGGCCATTCGGCCTATCAGGTCTGTTCAGCCATTCAATCATGGCTGATAAATTTTTCAATCCCATTCTCCCACTTTCTCCCCATAACCTTTGATCTCCTTGACAATGAAGAACCTATCTGTCTATGTTTTAATTATATTCTCAGTAACCTATCGCCCACAGCCCTCTGTGCCAATCAATTCCATAGATTCACCACCCTCAGGCTGAAGAAGGGCTGAGCAATGAAGGCAAGTATACCAAACAACACAGTGTGGAGCTGGAGGAACACAGCAGGCCAGGCAGCATCAGAGGAGCTGGAAAGTCAATGTTTCAGGTTGGGACACTTTTTCTGAACTGTAGAGGGTGAAGAGAGCTAGGAAATAAATAGAGGGAGGAGGGGTGGGGCTGGGATGGTGATAGGTGAGTGCAGGTAGGGGGTAGTGGGGATTGATCAGTGGGAAGGGTGGGGTGGATAGGTGGGGAAGAAGATGGACAGGCTGTGTCAGGTCAAAGAGGCAGGGATGAGAGAGAGGATTGGACATGGGATGAGGCCGGGGATGGGTAGATTTTAAAACTGGTGAATTCTATGTTCAGGCCATCAGGCTGTAGCACACCCATCCCACTGACCAATCCCCACTACCCCTACCTGCATCCACCTATCACCATTGCAGCCCACCCCTCCTCCCTCTATTTATTTCCAAGCTCCCTTCCTCCTCCCCAGTTCTGAAGAAGAGTCCCAACCCAAAACGTCAGCTTTCCTGCTCCCCTGATGCTGCCTGGCCTGCTGTGTTCCTCCAGCCCCACACTGCGTTATCTCTGACTCCAGCATCTGCAGTTCTTGCTATTTCCAAGCATACCAAACCAGCTTATTAACCACCAGTAAATCAACAGATTAGGAATGCATGCATCATGGATGCACAACAAAAACGGGCCACTACAGTGTGCATATGGACTGTCAGAGGCTTGTCAGCCAGAATGATTAACAAGTGGGTTCAATCCTCTTGGTGCAGTGAGTACCATTGAAGATGCAGCCTCCCAGCACACTGAATGTGTCAGTCCTGAATACCCAGCGTCCTGGCTCCTGTACATTGCTCGTGGATTCAATGTTGACGATGTCTGGGGTTTGAGAGCCTGGGATGCTGAAAAAATGAGTGGATCCTCCGCTGTTAAAACCGGCCTGTGAGAGGAAAATGAAACTCATCAGTAAGTTATTAAAGGTTAAACGCAAGTCATGCTGCGGCTTTATAGAATTTCAGTTAGGTCACACTTGGAATATTGCATACAGTTCTGGTCACCACACTACCAGAAGGATGTGGATGCTTTGGAGAGGGTACAAAAACAGTTTACCAGGATGTTGCCTGGTATGTTGGGGTGGGGATGGTTTATAGCTACGAAGAAAGGCTGGATAGACTGGATTTGTTCTCACGGGAATGCAGGAGGTTGAGGGACAACCTGATAGAAGTTTATAAGATTGTGAATGGCATGGATAGGGTGGAGGGGTCAGTTACTGGGGGACACAGGCTCAAGGTGCGAGGAGGGGAGTTTAAAAGGGATGCGTGAGACAGATTTTTCACACAAAGGGTGGTGAGTGCCTGGGACGCGCTGCCAGAGAAGATGGTGGAAGCAGACACAATAGCAGCGTTCAGGAAACACCTGGACAAAAACATGAAGAGGAAGTGAATAGAGGGATACGGATCCTGTAAGTGAAGACAGTTTTAGAATGGAAGGACAAAATGTGTCAGCACAGGCTTGGAGGGCTAAAGGGCCTGTTCCTGTGCTGTACTGTTCTTTGTTTTTGATTACAGTTAGATGCTTTGGCCTAACTCTAGCTATTAGTTAGAGTGTATCTTGTGAGACTGATTAACCTCTTAAAAATTTTGTTTATTCATTCACGGGATTTGGGCTCTGATGGCTGGCTCAGTGTTTATTGCTTATCTTTAACTGCTAAAGCGAGCTGAATGGTGACTACTGCAGGCTGTTGGATAAACCTATCAGATTCACTGGGGTCCTTTAAAGGGAGGTGAACTAGTGGTTTAAAGACGCAGTCATGTTATGGGGATCCAGGCTCAAAGCCTATCACAGCAGGAAACTCTGGATTAATCATGTAAAAGTCCATCCTGGTTCAGCATTGTCCATTCCTCGTCTGATCCACAGTCATGAGGTTGAGTCTTACCTGACCCTTGAAATGGTCTAGCCAATCATTCAGCTGAATCGACCACCAAAACGTCAAAAAAAAGTTATAGCAAAAACTCTGCAAGACGCTCTGCAGAAACTCACCAAGGCTCCTTAGGCAGCACTCTTCAATCCCGACAACCCACTTC